AACGAAATTTCGTTTTGTATACACAATGTGTATGCATAATGAAAATACAAGTTGTATACGTCTTCTACCATCTGCCAAACCACCTTGCTTTATAATCCTGTCTCATACTTTGTCTTTTTTCATAATACGTCTCCTTTTTTTTCCTTTTTGTGAGAAAATCCTCAACTTTATCTGTAAGGTTTTTTTTGTTTTTTAACCTGTTATTAGATCCTTCCTCCTCTGAGAGATGTATCACATAGACCAGAGGAAGGGGACACAGTGAAGAGTCGTCTGGTCCGACTCATGACTCATTTGGACACAGACGTAAAACACTGCGCTGCTGACCTCCTCTTTGTCCTCTGCAAGGAAAATGGTAAACTTCCTCCTTTATTTGGATCAAAAGAGGCTGATCATGAACATAATCCAGCTTTGTCTTTGGTTTCCAGTGCGGCGTTTTGTCAAATACACTGGCTACGGTAACGCAGCGGGTCTGCTGGCCACCAGGGGACTGCTGGGTGGTCAGGGGCCCAGGAGCTCCACCTCTGACGCCCAGTACTCCAGCGACTCCGATTCAGACACAGAGGAGTACCGACAGGTCAAAGACCGTGTCAACATGGTGACGGGGCGGGTGGAGGCGGAGCAGCCAAACCCTATGGAGGGCATGACGGAGGAGGAGAAGGAGGAGGAGGCCAGGAGGCTGATCATGCTCTTTAACAAGCTGTCCAAGTAGGCTAAATGATAAACAGTGAAAATATCTGAACTTTAAAGTGTTGTTCAATTGGTTTGAATAAATCCACAGCAACATCCACACCTATTAACACTCCTCATAAAATGTATAAAAAGCCTAAAAAATATATATATATTTTATAGAAGCCACATAATTTTAGACTGAACATTTTTAGATATTCAAAGCTTTTATCTGAGAACATTCAATCAGTGAGGAAATAATATTAGAAATTAAAATAATTATTTTATATGTTTAATAAAATCTCGTGGACCACACATAATCAGAGCATTAGAAAGAGATTATGAGCAGAGAGAGATTTTAAACAGTTAGTGACACCATGCCCTTCATACATGCAGCTTTCTATGGCAGTTTGGAGCAAAACCAGGCCCACAGCATTACAGATCCATCACTATACTTACCAACAGGCACCAGCCTTTTTTTTGTTTTGTTTTTACTATTTTGAATTTCTTTACAGACCAAATAAACTCTGTAATCCTTGATAACCTTTTTTTTGGCCTGTTAGTCCACCACTGCTGATATGGGACCCCTAATCCAAACTAATTCATCTTTATTTATAAAGCACTTTCAAATTTCTCGAAGGACCAAAGTGCTGTACAATGTAAGAACATAAAAAACATAAAAGACATAACAAAATTGATATCAGAACGATAAAATCCATAATAAAATAAAATAAAAATGACTTTCAATTATTTATCACAGGCTAAAATCAACATCTCACATAGGTTTGAAAGTTAATGCAAAAAGATGAGTTTTAAGACGCGATTTAAAAACAGTCAGAGAGGTAGACCTATTAATTTGCATTGGAAGGTCGTTCCACATTTTGTTAACTAACCCCCAGATTAAGTGCATTACAATAATCCTGCCGGGTAGTGATGAAGGCGTGGATTATTGTCTCTAAATTATCTCTAGAGAGAATGGGCTTCATTTTAGTCAACTGCCCTAACTGAAAGAAACATTTCTTTATAGTTTCCTTTATCTGGCTGTCAAATTTAGGATCAGCATCTACTTTGACATCAAGGTTTTTGATAACTGACCTTCTGTACTGGGCTGGACAACCTGGTTCAATGGAGGCTAGCTCAGATGTGCTAAAAATCATGATCTTGGTCTTACTCTTATTAAAATCTAAAAACTTAAGGGCCATCCAGGTTTTAAGTGGTGCTCAAAAGAAAAAAATAAAAATGTTTGAATATTTGAATGACCTTATCCTGCCGTACATTTCTGAGCATCTTCATACTTTTTTGGTCCCTGAGATGAGTTGAATAGAAGCTCCTGCAGGTCAACTAGGAAGCTCAGAGTGAGAAGAAAACTGGTACTTTTTGGAAAAGAGTTAATTTGTTCTAATGTTTTGCGTGTGTTTTTTTTTCCAGAGATAACATCATCCAGCCAATGGGAGTAGATGAAGAGGGGAAACTTGTCCCGATGAAGGGACTGGAGGAAACGACCCTTGCAGAGGAAGCAAATGCCGAGCCGGACAACGAAGCAGAATCAGACAAAGAGGACTGAAACATGTTAAATTTGTTCCTTTTCTTTATTGATAAGGTTTTTCTAAACATTGCAATGCTGACATTTGGTTGGTACAGTAATTGGTTTATCTGGTTAGAGACCCATACAAGAAACAGGATAGAAAATGTGTGATAGTCACAGAAATAAAAAAAAGGCTTAAAAGAATAATTTCAGACTAAAAAAACACATTTAGAGCAGCTTTCTTACAAATCTGACGTACAATTGTGGCTCTTATTTGTGTGGTAGTTCCTGAGAAGAAATCAATTTCATTATGATTCTAACCGTGTTTGATTAAAGTTTGTTCTCTCTAAGTAATAAAAATACAGTTTATCTCAGCCCAGTGAAAATCATTCCAGTATTTCTTAATATGTAACATCCTAGAGTTTACAAACATGAGATGAAATCAACAGCGTGCAATGCAGATTATATGGTAGTTGTGTTTTATGGGATTATTTTGGAGCAGATGCATCATAAATTAACAGGATGCTATCTTAAACTTGGTGAGATAAATTTATATCTTGCTGCTTTTTTAAAATCAAATATTTATGGATACATGTATTCATGCGTATGTAACACACAGCAAGGCTTACTTTAGAAATATGCTGCCCCCTAGTGGTTGGAGTCTTTTCACTATATATTTTACCTCATTTTCATACAGAAAAACATTTTTATCAAATTCATATCTATTGTTTGTGGTGTATTCAAACAAAAATATAAAAAATGTTGGAATCTTTTTAAAAGTAAAAATATATTTTTGAGGCAGTGATTCAGACAAGGCCAACATATTTTCCCATACCACACTCCATAAATATTTTTCAAGTAAATCCCAGGTCTTTAAATTTAATGGCTTCCCTAACAGTAGTTCCTTTAAAGTAAACAGAGGCATTTTATTTATTCCTTTAGGTTGGAAAAAAAGTGGATAACATGCCAAACAGGCAAAGCAACACGAAAACAGCTATCTAAACTCATCATTTTGTACACTTTGAGCTTTAATTGAAAAATTTCTAACAAGGAAAATCCTAACATTTGTTGTAGAACTGCAGGTAAAGTTTAGATACTTGGTGGAGGTGGATGTTTTTGGGGTTTTTTGCATCAAGATGTTTGACAAATATCATAATTTTAAACTACAGTATAATACATTTTACACATTATGCAGGAAAAAATAAAGTCTATAACTTGAATTAAAATATAAATATAAATGAAACCCAAATTTATAGTTAAACAGGTATTTATTTGTGACGTCCCAGCTAACGCAGCACGACAATGTGTTGATCTGTTTGATATCAAATAAAAGCTTCCAAAGATGAGAAACTGAGATATTCTCACATCATAAAGGGCAGAAAAACAGCAGAGACTCATCAGCAGAGATCCATCATTTCTTCAAGAGAGGTCTGCAGTTCTACAGACTGTAGAGAGGAGGCGCCGGTCTCAACAGCCATATTCTTTAGAAGATCCATTGAAGTCAGAACCACCTGAGAGAGAAGAAAGGAAACCAAAAGCCACATTCAGATAATCGTGACAGCTGTAAATGTTTATGTTGAGTTCTTTGATTGATTTTTCTTTTTTCAACAGCCAACTCTTTTAACTGAAAGCATTTCCTCACCTCTACCATTATGAGTTTTTTCTCCCAGGGCCTGTTCTCAGGGTCAGGCCACTTTTCCCCCAGACAGAAGAACAGAGAGCACGACGGGGAGTCCTTCCCATTAATAAAATCTATTATTCCTACAAGAAGGAGAAAAAAAAACCCTGCATCATGTATTCACAGGGATTACCTTACATTAAGGTAGATATTCCCTTTACTCACCTTGGATAAATTCCTTGACATAGTAAAGAGGTTCAAGCTTCATTTTAGAAACCTCCCTTGGCTGTCTGCTGTTGTCAAACTTGGATAAACTCCAGTAAGCTTTGACATCTCCTCGCCGCTGTCCGTAGATCACGTTCTCCAACGTGCCCACGTCAAGGCCGTTGCCAAGACTGTTCAAAAGCCTTTGGGTCAGAGCAGCTTGGGTTTGATCCAGAATGCCATCAGGTCTTGGCAGAGAGACAAGAGAGAGTCCAGTCTCCTGATCCACAATGGTACCGGTTAGATCAGGCCTGAAGTGAAGACAAGGTGGACAGGGTTACAAGTATGAAGCAGCTATCGATCGATTCCTTGACTCAAAGTGAGTCAGTTCCAATCATACTATCAATAATAGACTGTATTTAGGCACTTTTTTCATTTTAAGCAACGCTAAGTTGTCATATTCTGCTTTAAAATAGAAACCTATAAACTTTAGTTTGAGACGTCCACTTAACTGGAGATTTTAGACAAAAGGTAAAAAAATAAAAACCATGCAATACACTCATTTTAGACGGGATGTTTGTGGATGTTTTTTATTCTTTTCAACTAAAATACTAAACTAGCTTTTCTTTTGTTTTACTTTAAAAGGCAAACTTTTCTTCAGAAGACATCTGTAAGATTAGTAACTTCTTGTCTTTATTTTTTCCTTTGCCTAGGCAGAAAGTCCTTAAAAAAACAACTAATCAAACAGACAAAAAACAAAACTAAATGATGTTTCTGGAGTGGCCTATTCAAAGTCTGAATTTAAATGCTTAATTACATATGATTAAGTAAGCTTAAACCATTTTTTGATGTGAAAAGTGTGGCTGGTGTTCTTATACGGGGATGTATGAGACAAAAGCAGCCATCAAAACATCTAAAGCAGTTACTATGTTTATGGGGTAATTACATAATTACATCAGACCAGGATGGTTTGTAGAGGGACTACATAAATAAAGTCAGAACTAGAAAACTGCTGTTTGTATTTGTTTAAGCTATATTTGGTTTGATGAACTGAAACATTTGTTTGACAACCTGGAAAAAACAAAGAAATCTGTGAGACAGATTTATTCTTCCAGATCTGAGGACGTATTTTCGCTCCTTCCTTTTTAGACCATATTAGAATAGTTAGATCAGGGGTGTCCAAAGTGTGACCCAGAGGGTGATTTGCAGCCTTTTGAATAAATTTCTTTACTCTCAGGCCCCCAAAAACAATGTAAAAATACTACAAATTATATTTTAAATGACAAGGGTAAAAGCATGAACATAAAAAATGTATATTGTATTTTAATGTACTAAAAAATATTCTTCTTTTGTAAGCCAGTGATTAACCTTGACCAAATCTAACAGATGTTCAGAGTCTCATGTTTGCAGCTGGGAATAAACTAAAATCATTTTTCAGATTTTATTTCCAAAAACCTTTTTCTTTTGAATATTGCATGTTTAATTTATTTTTTCCGATAAGAAAAAACACAAAATATTTCACAATAGATAGAATTTTTGCATTTGTAATTAAAAAAACAAAAACAAAGCAGATTTAGACAGAAGTTTAGACTGGCTTTTTATGTTTAATAGCTGTATTTTAATTCTCCATTACTATTATATTTTATCCTGCACCAAAAAAAAATTTTATTCTAGAACCTCGGACTGCTAAGAGTGTAACAAAGCCTTCTTTGAATCCGTATGGAGAGGAATCGCGCCATTTAAGTCATTACATCATAGGAAACTTCTCTTCTTGATTTCCTTTCATTTTGAATAGATGTAGAGAAGATTTAAAGTGAGTTTCTACTCAGCTACTTTGAGGTGGAACATTGGATAACTCAAACACTTAGTCTAATTTGTTACCTGTAAACTAGGCGGAGTCCGTTTTCATTATGAACCAACTGCTCAGAGACCTTCACTCCTCTGTAGTATACGCACACCTTAAACTGGGTCACTGAAGAATTCACAAAGAGAAGAAGTACTTTAAAAAGATGATTAATAACGCCTGAATTCTTACATTAAAATGCATCAAAAAGAGACTCTGCTGGGATAGTTTCAAACTCATCTTTGTAGGATTTCACAGATTTCAATAAGATATACCAGTATACAATTTCAACCCACAGTCCTCAATTGCTATAAACAATGTTTTGGCTTAAGGTTTGATCCCTATTAGTGTTTAAAATGTTGATGTTTATCAAAGAGGTGTGTGTGTGGAGTGGGGGTGGGGTGTTAAGTTATTAAAACTTAGACAAATGTTTTCATAAAAAACATGTTTTAAGTGAACTTTGCTGTTTACCTAGATTTTCTTTTTTTTATTTGAAATAATTTTTTTCATTATTTATTTATTTTTTCTTCAATTCCTTTTTCAAATATCAGATTTTTCAAATAAATTTCTTTTTTCTAAATTGTATATATATTTTTCTATTTATTTGTTTTTTTTAAGACTATATTTTCACTTTTTTTTATTTTTTTGCTTTTTAATTCGTAAATGAATTCATACATTAATAAAAAAACAGTATTAATAATAATAAAAAATGTTTTATTAATAATAAAAATACTTAATAATACAAAATGTCAAAAATGGGACAAATAAATTTTGAAAAACTAAATAAGCAAAAAAAATCTAAGGAAACAGCAAAGTAACTGTTTAAATCTTTTTTTATCAAAAAGTTTTTTAAAGTTTAACATCTGAATTGCATCTTATTCAAATTACATTTTACAAAATCAGCCATAATATGAGTTACTGCAACATTAAATTTTGCTTTGGGATTAATACAGTATTTTTAACAGAATTGAATTGATATAATGAATAAAATCATCATGAAAACCCATAATATTTGGGTTTGCTTCCCTTTCTTCAGCAGTGAAGATTCATTTCTAAAGAAGATGGAGAGTTAAAAAGCAAAGCATTTTCCAGTAAAGGGAACTAGATGTTGGATGAAACCAGATTGGTTCCCCACAGCAGAAAATGCCAAGCACTGCAAAAACATTTGAGGAGGCAAATATATTGATTTGCCAATGGAATGGGTATTTTTAGTCTTAAAATAAGCTAATGAGATAATATGTACTTGAAATAAGACAATGCAATTGTTTTTGCTTATTTTAAATGTAAACTGTCTCGTTACAATGGCAAAATGTCTCACTTACCTCCACAATTCAAGAACAATTTCACTTATTTTCAGAAAAAAAAAGACTTATTTAGATCCACATGTTTTTGCAGTGATGCACTGGTTAAAATGGCATTGCCCTAGTTCAAGATGTATGGAATATGTTAGCACCAAAGAAACCGACCAACTGAAATGACCTTACTACTGATAAATTAAAATGATCAGATTAAACAAGGATCCTAACCAAAAAACATGGTTTTAACAGTTCAAATAAATAATTCAAACCCAAAGCTGGCAGTCTCATGACAGATTTCTGTAAAGTACTGATCAACCTTGTATGTCAGTATGTCATATATTCTCTGTTGGCATTTTCCTGTATGTTCAGTAAATTCTCCATTTGACAGCAGCCTCCATTCACTAACCCCCAACCCCACCCCCCGCCCCACAACTCACTGAAATTATCTCCATCTCTGGTTTGGTACATCGTTTGCAGGAACTGCTCTGCCTGCTGCCCATCACCGAAGCCCGGCCCCTCTGCTCCCCCCACTGGATGTGCCGGTTGCTCTGGCAACCCAGTTTCACAGGCTGCACCCTGAAACATTACTGGATCTTGCTGTTGCCCAGGCAACTGATGTGCACCAATCAAAACCTGATTCTGCTGCTGCTGTTGCTCAGTAGGTGGCTGAAAGCCTGTGGTTCCCTCTGTGGAAAAGTTGGGAGAAAATGGAAAAGTGTTTGCAGAGAAAGAAGCTCAGGTAACCATTTGTTTTCTGCTGCTGCTGCTGCAGCAGAGAAGAGGAGACGAGGTGATGACAATACCTGCTTCAGGGCCAATACTGAGTCCTCTCAGACACTCCTGAAGGATATCCTGGCTGGCTGAGCAATCTGCTGACAGATATCAGTATGTTTGAATAAAATCCAACAGTTATTTGTCAAACAGTTTTAAAGCTCCTTCCTTACCTGGCAACAGAATATCTTGCTCACGATAAACCTCATCGAAGAATGGGACAACCTTACTCTGAAAATCACAGAAATTCATAAATACATTTTAATCTCTGTCATTGTTCAATATTCAACCAATATTTAAACAACATATAAATATGCAAAACATTCAGTTCATCATTTCATACCTCCTGAACTGCATAGGCGTTAAAATTACTGGAGTCATCCTGCTCTTGGGACCCAGAGGAAGAGTTGGCTATTGGGTGAGAAAAAAAAATCGATGCAATGGTTAAAGGATCAATAATTACCAGATATAATGATATATTCTGATAATCTAATGAATTTCGAAGGATATCCACCCTCACCTCCTGCTGCAGAGCCCTCAGGCCAACGATAGACTTTATGTGGGTTAGCAGCATCGTTCTTTTTGTCTGAAACCATTTTGAAGCCCTTTGCCCTGAGGGCGCTGCGGAAGTTTCTCTTCCACACGGAGGGATCTCCCTGAGCCTGGCCGTTTCCACTCACCTCTGCCCAAGCCTGCAAGGGAAAGCAACACATTTACACTCCTCTGCTAATATATTCATACCTATTAATCCTTTACACATTTTGTCAGGCATGTATTTATATTTTGCCTCAAGTTTTCCAATATAATGCTTTCGAAAACTAATTCCCACAGCATGGTGTGTTCATGGGGAGTAAAATGTAAAAATACAGGGCAGAAGTCCATTGTTTGTAACAGTCAGAACTAACAAACCTCCATGTTTTTTTTTTTACACAGGTAGAAGTGTAAAACGTCTTTGCGTTTTTTTTTTAGAGGAAAAGCACATGTCTAAGCATTTCTATTCTTAAGTAGACGTGCAGCAAATACATGTAATAAATGGATTATTTGATATTCAGCCCAAATAAAGGGAATATATTAATAGTTGTTTTTAAATCTGAACACATTTCAGTCTGACCAACAAAACATTTGTGCACATTAAAATAGCAAATTTTATTTTTCTGCTGGAAACATGCATTTTGCATATCGGCAAAGAAGCTGAACCGTTGTCGTCTCAACAACCTCAAGAGCTATTATTGGCCTCTCAGTTGTTTCTCTGATGAATGCTACCCTTACGAGCCCTCATGTATTGGTATGTTTTTGGCTGAGTAATACACTTTCTACTAAACATGGCTCTGAGAAATGTTCAAGGCTTGGAATATTGTTTATCGCCTCTCCAGAACATTCACTGAGGCCTTCACAGAACAGCAACATATACAGAGCTTTTCTGTCCCTACTGAAGGAAAGAAATCCCAAAGCAAAATGATGCCACCACCTTGCTTTACAGGACCTATGTTGATTGTTTCTATTTATACTAGGATTCAGTATATTAATTAGGTGACTGTTAAGGACAGGTGTTATTGGGGGTGAATTTAATTACACTAGAAAGATTAATGCTTTATATCATTTACAGTAGGATGCAGGAGGTCTAACTATCATTATGGTTTCAGATACTGACCTTAAAGATGAGAACATCGGTGTCGGAGGAGTCCTGCCTGAGAGCGTGCTTCCATGGGATGCAGAACTCTGTTTTTTCAGGGTTTGTCCACTGGACACCTGGATACCTCCCACTGTCAATGTTGGCCCTCAGCCATGGCATCAGCAGAGGTTTGGAATGGGCCATTTCTGCAAAGGGCAGAGAAAGAGATGTTTTCCAGTAGCAGATTAAACTTGCAGGTAGCTTGATGAGTAAAAGTTTCTACAAGATATTTTCATGTTATCATGACATACTTTCCTTGTTTGAACTATGTAATATTACAGAGTATTATGGGGGGAGTGTTGGCCCAGTTAGAGCTGTGTGCTTGTATTCTGAGAAGGTTGCAAGTACCCGGTTCGATTTTCACAGCCTGATCAAGGCCCTTAACCCCACACTGCTCCCTGGGTGCCGCACAATGGCAGCCCACTGCTCCCAAAGGGGATGGGTTAAATACAGAGGTAAATTTAATTATTATTTACAATTAATTATGTATATTAATGCTAAATAACCTTTGATTGCATGATTTTATTATAAAAGGAAATTTAAGCAGTTATAACAATATGGAGTTACACTTTGCTCTTCTCCCTTAAGTCATTTTTTATTTGTTTTTCTTTAAGTGATACTGTTTAAAAAAAGGTGATCACTGAAAACAGTCCAAGTAGACATAGTAACTAACTGACTAAATTAAGTTAGAAGATGGATTAAATCCTTGTGAAATCTTTGAAAGTGGCTATTTGTAGATGCTGTTTTTCACTTCCTAAAAAAAATCTGAAAAAATAGGCGTTAAGAGAAATAATAATAAAACAGACAAGAAAAATACACTGATATCAGACAATAAACATATAGAACTATAGGGTAAAATCAGACTACACTTTCAATTTACAGATTAAATTACAAATTACATATAAATTATTATGCAGACAAATATGTTCATAGAGACATATAAAATGAGCCACATGTAACACATCTTTAGTAAATGATATAAATATACTTTATAAATGATATTCAGTTACTTTAATGGTTCTATATACTGTCTCTTTTGTCACATAATCAAAATAAATGAGCCTCTCGTACCTTTGGTGATGAAGTTTCGGTTCGTTCAGCCAAAGTCCGGTTGTTTTTAGTTTTGTTTTTAGTTTTTAGTCTAAAGACTTTAGTGGAGCGCACTCAGCAGAGGAAGGTGACCAGCTGTCATCCACTCAGCCTCGGCTTCGGATGATTTCTGACTCTCGGAGTTTCAGACTTCTGGGGAAACTCCGACTGTTTTGTTTCGTTTTCCTAAAATGACGTCACCACGTCCCGTCGGTCTCGCTTACTGGGGCAAATCACGCGCAAACACACTCACGACGCTTAATTTGACACACTTCTGAGGACCTTTCTTATAGAAGTGCTAAAGTAAGGTGACTTAGAAGTGATTTTTATATATATATAAATATATTATTTTGAAATATAGTATATTATTTGAAATATATATTATTCTTATTCTTTGAATGCAGTGCTTTTAAAAGCTAAAGTTTTTCTCATGTTTTTTGTGTACCTTTGTATATATATATATATATAAATCTAAACTCCAACTAATGTGTCTTTAAAATGACAATATTTTCTTTCAGATTTTAATAACAAAAATTTGAGCGACATGTCTCTAAACTACATGCTTTCAGACTCACCATGACTTGATATATATATATATATAGACTATAACTCACCTTTTGTTGTAATAACACCACTGTTATTTAAAAAAATCATGTAGATTAACAAAAAATATACAAAAAATTCCATATTCCTATATTTAGTAGTTAAAATATAGACATTTTGGTAAATTTAGGTTTGAAGCCATCAGTTCATGTTGGTTATTGTTAAAGGTTCAATATAAGTTTATTAAATCCAAAAAATAAGATGAAGCTTTGACAAACAGAGCAGTGAAATCATCATTTACTGACATAGTATCACACAAAGGTTGACTCTGTTTAGTGAATTGAGATAGTAACTGATTGCGTGAAGAAATCCTCAAAAATCTCCTAAGTTGACAATTCTGTTTGTTCGCCGAAATAAAAAAACTCCCACTGATATAAGACGAAATATGTGGTTGAAACATGGCAAAATATGAAAAATTTGAAGGGATGTGAGTATTTTCTAAATAACCTAAGCATTTTTATTTTCATTTTTAACATTTGAAGATACAAAATGCAAAGCTTAAAAATTAACGGTGTGTTAAAATTAATCCGATTCTTGTAAAAAAAAAAAAAAAAGGTTCTATAAATCTGTTTCTCTGGTGGCGAGCGCCACCACACAGTGAAACACACAAAGTAAGAGAAATGAAACCGTTGGTTCTTTGTAGATTTTATTTGTTTTTCAAATACAGGAGAGTTAATGTACAGAAGGACAAAGAGTTTCATCAAGAACTGTACAGTATTTACACGTTTTTCTTTCCTTTTTTATGGAAAATCGGATTGTTTTCAAAATAACTCATAGTATGCACAGACATCAAAATGATAAAAATGAAATGACTATTTCCTCTTTAAATATTACTTATTTATACTCCTCCTTCCCACATGGGAAAGGGATAGTTCTTTTTCTTTGCACCTGCATGACTGATGATTGAACTGAAGCACAACAATGTTAAGTTTCAAATAAATGCAACCATTCTTTTTTCATTCTTTTTTTCCATTCTTTTTTTTTTATTTTACACCCACTGTATTTGATACAATATTTCTGTCTGGACGTCTGTTCTTTTGTATAGAGGGGAAGACGACTTGGATATGTGGGTTATGATTGTATACTGATCCTGTGGAAAATAAAAAGCTAGTTAAAACGTCTGGGGCAGCAAACCAGCGCGTGTGAGAGTTTTTAAGTTAAAAACCTCATATAAATAATAAAAATGCGTTCATATATTACCACACGGCCAACTGGTGCTGCCCTTTCACGTAGCACATGACAACAAGAGAGCGTTCTTAACACTTTTCATGTTTCTATCCACGATCACGCTGCTCACGGCACGCTCTGCACGCAGATTAAAAAGCACTCTCGCCTCCTTCCAGTCTTCTCAAAAGCCGAAAGCTGATGTTAGTCTTTTCAAAAAATAATTTATGTAAAAACTAAGCGGTGATAGTTTCTCTTTGAACTATTGTCTTTTATGACACACAGTTAACAAGACGTCAGTGACTCCTCCGTTGACTTGGTTTTTCGGCTCCTCCTCTTCTTCGTCCTCCTTGTTCATCCCCGTTTTTATCTCCTTTTTTTTTTTTTTTAAACAAAGATCCGGAGCCTTCGATGCCCCAACTTTTAATCCAGTAGGGTCCGACTCTCACAAAGTAAGACATATCTTTAGTGATTGGTCAACAACAAGACAAAATAAAAACAGGCCAGTGTCCGAGGTCAGGTCAACACGCCTTCTTCTCCGTCAAGGGCCTTAAAAACTCCTTGCTCGGATCTGAACAGATTCTGAAGAGGGGCTGGGGGCTGTACAGTAGGATTCATCTGTTTTTTATTTCTTTTTCAGATTCTCTTCTTATTCATTTATTTTTTTTTTTAAGTCATACTTTAGCTCTCTGTGTATCTCCTTATGAGGCAAACTCAGGCTTTGGTGCTGAGTGTGAGCAGCTCTATGAAGGAGCCAAAGAGGGTGTCCAGCCAGCTCTGGTTGGCCATGCACTGCTGCACCACTTCCTCTTGGCCCGGGTCCTCAGCCGCCTGCTCAATGGTGTTGGTCTGTAGAAGTGAAATGGAAACAAAGACAACTCTGAGCAAAGCGGGGCAATGAGCCAAACTGCAAGTATTCACCAACTAGAGCTGCAAAAATCATAAAACGTGATCAAGTTTTAAAGAATAACTGACCTCTTTCTTGCACTGTAGGAAGGTGTGGTATTTATAGTGATGCAAGGAGTGGTAGAGACTGTATATCCGGTAGGTTTCAGATGATAGTTTAAGGTCCTGAAAAAGAGAAATTAGTTAGTTTTATTGTGAAATTATACATTCTTTGTTTAAAAAAAGCTTTTACTTTGACTAGGTCATTCTACATCATGAATATTCTTCAAACTAACCCATTTTTCTAGTTATGGCTCTATAGTTAGGGCTGTTTTGCGGCAGAGAGGTGAACCCCAACCCAGTTTTAAGCACCCTCTACCATGTTTTTTTTTTTGTCAGAATTGTCCAGAATGTTGCTAAATCTTTCAATCTTCCATCTCTGTGAATAAAAAAAACACCCCCACACCATGATGCCGCTACCACCATGTTTCACAGACGGGACGGTGGTTCTCTGCCTCACATAACTTTTTTGCAATCAGGTCAAACATTTGTTTTAATAATTTTATTTGAGGGTACCAGAGTGATAGGACTGAAAACCAATATAGACCTCTTGTCAGATTTGAATAAAAGCAATGTCTTTTGTTTACTTCATTAGTACATGCAAAATCTCCATGAAATACATTGCACTTATAGTATAAAGTAATGTTAGAGGAAAGATATGGCCAAATGTACAAAAGCTAGACTAAGGGAAATAAATAAATAGTCTTAAGTATTAGATATCTCTGCACCCACACAGAATTCCCACCAAGTTTTAAAATGTCCTTTTTTATTTTATGTCTTTCTTTTTTTACTGTGTTTTGCATGCATTATCATTATGAAAACCAAGCAAGGTTAAAAAGACTCAATTTCTACAGGTATCAGTGCAAAATTAATAAATAAAATAATTTGGATAGAACTGGTTGTGGTTGGGTGGAGTTACTAAGACAAAAAACCCTGCAAAATCCTTCTGACCCATAAGCCAGTGAGTCAGTAAAACATTGCCGATAAAGCGGTACTGCTTATCTAAAGAGCTGAGAATCAAAAACAACAAAAAAGAAAATAATCTTCATTTTAATGAGTGAAGAAGTCAAGGTTATTTAAAAAGAATAGAAATAGAAACTTTTTTTTCCTAACAACTATTAAGTAATAAAAAAAACAACAAATTTATTGTTTTTTAATATTTATAAATTACATTTATAGCCTGCAGTGCAGGCCACATGAAAGCAGCGATTTAGGAACCTCAGATCATACAGTTTGGAAATGGCTTTTATAAGGAAAAAAAAAAAAAACAACTTGAATGAATTGAAACACTATGTAAGCTCCAGTTTCAAATTAACAGTTTACTCCAAATGATGCATTTTTAGAGCTGTAATAGAGCGCCACATACAGGCCAAACATAGTGTTGCAAGAATTAAGACAATTCCAGAGATAATGATAGTGACTGCTTGGGAGAACGCTGGATTTAATAGTAGTGAATTCTGTTTTAACCTTTTTTGTTTAGCTTTTTTAGACCTTTGATGTGTTTTTAAATAGGAGGAAATCTATTTAAGATGTTTTACACTTAAAGAAAGCTTCCCTACCTGTGGTTTAGGCAGGGTTTTCTTGACACGGTTGAGGGTCTTTCGGTTGTAAGCGTCACCAGCAAGCCGCACCCTCACCACTCTGGTGTCCAGAGAGTCTGCCATCATTTGGGGGTAAGCATGCAGAACATCCTGTAAAAACAAAACAAACAAAAAAAAAGATGTTTTTTAATTTAGAAACAGCTAAAAAGGTATAGCAAATACTTTCAATATTATTGGTTTTCTATTTAAAAAGAAAATGTTGTTTACAAATACTGGAATATTGCATTTTGAAAGGATTTATCAGACTTTTTAGGTTTTTCAAGTTTTTAATCAGATTGATTTTCTTTGTATTTCTGTGAAAGTAGGCATTTCAAGCTAATTTTATAAACAATAGTCTGATGTGAACACATGCTCTTATGGTCCTCTCTACATTTTAGTGTCCATCTCTCTGAAACTCTGTATTTTCAAATATGAAAAAAAAAAAAAAAAATTTGACCACTTAATTTAAAGTGTCAATCCACTGCACCCTAATAGAATAACCAAGCAAAATTACAGGACAACATGACATATTTATACATTATCAGACATAAAATCGGTGCCACTCTAATTTTTTTCATCTCACTTCCTTCAGAGGCACAGATATTCTTTATCTCAAGACCATTTATCGTAATTCCAACATTTCCCATTTTCCCTTCATTTTTAACAGTAAAATATATTTAACAATATTTCTCCACATATTCAGTAGATGAAAATAAAAATCCTTATTGGTATTATGATAATGAAACTTAATAGGGATAGTGATCTATTTAACTAAATTGTAACTCGGACTGGTGCAAAAAATACAGAACTCTTTGAGAGAAATAAATGTAAAACAGCTGGTATTTTTAACA